TTTTAGTAGGATTTATATTTTCAAATTAAGGCCCCTAAATTTCAGCATCATCCGATTTCAGCATCATCCCCGATATTAATTATAGATCGTATCAAAAAACAACTTAAATAATGTGAATTTTACCCTTTTCATATCCACAAAATCAACTTAGGCAATAATTCTACAAAAAAAAGATATTTTACTTGTTGAGTAAGAATCATGGTTTTTTTTTTATTGTCTGACAATTTAAAACTATTATAATGAGCTATTTGATTTGCAATTTTTAAAAGTTCTGGTCATTTAGCAACGTATGCTGCTGCTTCATAATTTGATTTGAATAAGAGCGTTTTGCAGTTATTAGATTGAACTTGTGATCATGAATGAGAACTTGATGAATGAGAATGTTGTAAAGAAGAGTATCATGAACAAAAACATTGTAAAGAAGAGTGTTGTGAATAAAAATATTGTAAAGGAGAGTATTGTGAATGAGAATATTGTAAAGGAGAGTATCGTAAATAAAAATGTTGTAAAGAAAAGTGTTGTGAATAAGAATGTTGTAAAGAAAAGTATCGTGATTATGAATAGAAACATTGTAAAGAATATTATAAATAAAAATGAAAGCAGTGTAAAGAAGAATATCGTGAACGAGAATAAGAACGTTGATGAGAACCTTGCAAAGGAGAATATCATAAATGAGAACAAGAATGTCTTGGCAAAGAATATCTTGATCTTGAATGAGATCGAGAGCCCAATAACTGAGAATTTGAGTATTGTATTTGAGAGTTATCAGTATTGCTACTCATAAATACTTTATTAAAATTGTCTTCAAGTTTATAACTCTCGTTAATTTTGTTCTGATCATTATGAGTTCTGTTATTCTTAACTATAGACGTATTTTTTTTATCTAAGAACGTGAGTACTTTTTTGCTTGTAGATGTAGTATCTTTCTTGGAGGTACATGAACCTTGTTTTGAAATGGCTTTTTTAGGTATTGAAAATAATTCTCTTGCAAATATGATTTATGATCGTATTGCTAAGGTTGTTAACTATAAATTAAATTTAAAGAATGAATATACTAACACTATATATAGCTATTTATAAGCAAATTAATGCTCTTTTAAATTTAATACATGATACATAAATTTTATTATTTTGAGTTTGAATAATAGTTAACAATATAAAAAAAACTAGCCTTCTTCAAACAATAATTCATCCTTATTTAGAGAGAAATAAGAAAGTAATTAAAATAAAGAATTTGCAGAAGAAACAATCTATTATTTTCTTTTTTTTTCATACTTAACTTCAGTTACAATTATATCAATATACCTTATATTTAAAAATTTTCTGATATTATATCATACTATATATATTTAATCTAACACATGACTAATAGGTCAAATAAATACTACTAGAAGAAAATGAACTTCTAGAATTTATAAATCTATACATTATTTATCTTTTTAGAAATAGAGTATGATAAATTATAGACTATAAACTTAAATCCCTAAGGTGCTATTTTTTCTTTGATGCTAAATATATATACTAATTATACAATATTACTATAATAGATAAAAACGTGATGATGTTAATATTTATATATTGTTTGTTTAGTAATATGATTACTCTTATATATATATATTTTTTTTTGGTGTTAAGGTGGCCTCTTGGCCGGCTCCTTTTATTCGGTTATAGTTAACTTT